TTAAGTGGGTGAAGTAGGCTCTCAAGTTCTACAATCTTCTCATATCTTTCCAAGTTCATATATTCCTCTTCCACCTCATAATCAATCAACCAACTAATGACCATTTATTAAGAGCCTACTATGTGCCAGGCACTATGCTAAAGCCCCGAGGCACTAAGACCAAACAGCAACAAAGACTGACAACTTATTCTCTCCAGTTTTAGTTTCTCTGCAAATGTAAATAGAACAGTACAGGCCCATCTAGGGTTGGACAGGGCAGGTTTTGAGGTGGGGGCCTTCCTAGTGATTTATCAGTTGCCTTGGCTCTATTCAGTAACCCTCTCCTAACTGGACTGAGTTTTAAAGACTCACAGGCAGATTATTTCTCAATCTCAACCAGTAAGAAAAGAGACTTAATATCTCTAGGGATTAGTTGCCATCACTGGGCAATGGAGAGGTGCCATGTTGTGGTGGAACTTAGTTATAACTCATTAATGATGTCAGTGTGTGTGGATATAACTGTACAACTCAGCAGTGTCAAAAGCAAGTTAAATCTGGAATAAGAGCATTGAATTAGAGCATTTAGTGACTGCATGTGGAGTACAAATGATCTTTAAAAAAAACCCAACTATATATGGTATAAGTATTTATGATGTTTCTATAGATCAACTCACCATCCCTGTGACTTCCCAGACGTTTCCTTCCCTGGCTATCATTCCCATATATATGCTTATTTCCTCCATTGGAATATAAATTCTTTGAGGGCAGCACCTTCCCTGTATTTGTATTCTTAGTGTTCAACACAAAATAAGCACTTAATAAATACATTCTGTTTATTTCCTTTTCAGTCTAGAGATAAATGGAGGCCCATCCGTAATTCCTGTCTTTAAAAAAGGTAATGTTTTTCTTCTAATAAAATTTTTGGCTAGTTAAAACTGGATTAATTATTCTCTTTGTGGACATGAAGGTATTAAACACCATAACTAACTCTTTACCCTCATGCATTCTCCACTTCAGTCAAATGTGTGCTTGGTGTAAAAGTATGATTTGTCCCTTAGGCACCACTAATCTATGAAGATTTTGACTGGGCAGATTCATGTGATATTAGAATACTAACGGATTTTTTTGGGGGAGGGAGGGTGAGGTAGTGGTGGGGAGAATTAATGTGATTGTCTTCTATTTTATAAGATGCAGCAAAATACAGAAAGATAATCAGTCAGGAGACCTAGGTACTAGTCCTGAGTCTGCTACTAACTAGCTATGTAGACGTGGGCAAATAACTTAATCTCTCTGAGATTTAGTTTTCTTATTTAAAAACGTTGGATCAGATCACCCCTAACCTCCCTTCCAAAAATTCTCTATGCCCAAAGTTTCAAATGTATTCCTTCTGCCTAAAATGCAGCCCTGCCACTTCCCCTCCCATACAAGACTCACAACACCCAACAATCCTTCTCTAAATCATTTTGATTTAGTCAATGATTTTATTCCAGTAATTTCATTTATATTTCGTGCTCATTCTGGACTTGTAAGAGAAGTGTCAATAAAGAAATGAGAGAACTTGCAAATCACAGACAAAAATCAGACTCATTACTATATTATCACATTTTGTATACTTAGAAATACCCCTTGCTATCATTTTCTCTAACCTGTACTGAAGTCTGCTACTTTTTCTTACTTTTTAGTATATCAATTAAAAGTTAGTAATGTTATACAAATACTAAGTAGTCAATAGACCCTTTTGTGGTTAGAGGTGAGTAGTCTAATCCTGAAGAGAAACGCCTTATTCTTATTTGTCTTTCAAACTGAAAAAGAAGTAGTAAGCTGCACTTTGTATTATGAAATTTTTATGATTCTATTCACTGTCTCCTAATATAGACATATCAGTCTCCTTGTACATAAGATAACACATTATTTACTTGTAGAATTTGTTGCTTGTCCCTATTTGTCCTTAGTACTAGCGAACAGACTAAAAAAACACCTTTAGTTAGGACTTACTTAAGCCTCATATCCGAAATAAAAGGAGAAACCAGTTAGAAGACAGGATTGGTAACCTTAGAAATCTCCAAATTTTACAATTACAAAGGTATTTACAAGAAGATATAGGTAAGAGAATGGAATTCTTACTTGTCAACCCTTTTCAGATCACATAGGATGCAATGCCAGCTGGCTTAACTGTGAGTTCCCTGGAAAGAGGGGAAAAGAACTTATTTATCAGAGAGCTAGCTGCAATGGATTTAGTTGTGGGTTAACCAGAAGTTTACAGGGTGATAATATGACAATATTTGAGGGAGAGCTAGTTGGGTTAATTCTGGGCTGAGGCAACCTCCCAGATAGGAGGTGGAAAGAATATTTTTGTGCCTACTGAAGTATAATGGTCAAGAACACTAACTGAGTTTTGAAATAGGAAAATCAAAATCAATCTCACCATTTACTCCACTTTAGGAAAATGATTCATTAATGTGACAAAAATCTGAGAATAACAGTTGTGATTCTGGTTCTCTAATTTCTAGGTAAAGAACACAGAAGAAAAGCAAAAATAAAAATTCAGCCTAAAGACTCTTTGCTTATAATACCTTATTCAAGCAACTTAGTAGGAAGACTCAAAGCAACAAAGTTCACTACTTCTCGTAAACTTTTTTCTTTTTCAACTTCAGCTTCATCAGATATTATAAAAGTCTCAAGGCCAAGAATAGTGACTTCGAGTCAAATCAAGGAAATTAAACAGAAGAAAGCCTCCTGTGATGCTCAAGAAAATGCTCAAACCACTTCAACATGAAAATATTCTTAGCTAGACAGCCTGGTAACATTTTAAAAGAGGAATTTCCAAATACTGATAGTGAAAAATATGCTTCGGTGAATAAAACTTTCTATAGTAAATTAGAATAACTGCACTCAAACCTAATAAAATTTCATGATGAACACCATGGCAACAAATGAATATTGTCATAAGCAGCATTTCAAAACAAATACGTGAGGATAAAGAGGATTGACTGGAGCAGACTGATTCTCTTCTTTTAGTTTCTAATTCCCAAATGTCCCTCAGCCTTCAAATAAAGGCAGGAGACAAGAAAGGATCCTGATCAGCTGTTGACCCTGCAAGACTGTGCTGTATGGGAGACAAAGGGAGTATGCAGGGTGGTGGAGCTCAATAGACCCAAAGCAGTGATAAGAGGAAAGTGCCTTCCAAGCACATTTGTTGTATACATGTATTATAGTAATATAAAATGATATCTCTTCATCCAATCATTGGTCCTTATGGGCTTAAGAGCTTATATATATAGGCTTGTCAGTTTCCTTCACTTAATTTGTATTCAATCAAGTAACCAACCAACAAGTATTTATTAAGCACCTACTATGTACCAGGTACTGAGGATGCAATTATTGCTAACCACTTGCCTCTAGGTGATTTTTTAAAAACTGGCTAAATTTAAAAAGGCATACAAAAGATCATAAAAGGTAAACAACCCTGCCTAATACATTAATGTATGTCCTAAAACATAAAATATATTTTAAAAATATAGAGGAAAAGAAGGTAAAACAAAGTACTGCTGACAGTGACTTCATCATGTATAAAAGTAGGACTGAAAAGTAAAAGAAGGATCATCAGCTCTTCTCTTCTCACGTGGGTAAAGGCCTGGCTGGCAGTTGCAAAGGCTGGCCTTTTTAGGATCCTTGCTGCCTTTGCTTAAAATAAACTGCTCTATTTCTGATCGATGCACAGCAGACTGGCTTGTCCACCACTGTTATTTTATGGCAGTCCATGGCTGGTCTGGATGGGCAAACTGGGATTCAGTATGTCCTTAAAAGACCTTTTTCCCATCTATGCTGCTTGAAGTCGTCCCACTTCAGCTCATCACAGAGCAGCTGCTTCGATATCTATCCTTTTGCAATCTATTCTTCACTTATGAACATCTCAGCAGATTTCTAGTGTAGCTAAGTATTTGAATATATTTTATTACTTGAAAAGCACACAAGTAATTAAAAAAAAACATTTGGACATTTAACCTTCACACTACATTCTAAATTAACGGCTTTGCTGTTCTATGCTGCATCTTGTGAAGTGAGGTAAAATACATGGAATGGGGAAACACACATTTACTAAAAGGGGGAGAGTGAATAAAGGACTTAAAGAATTGACCATTTTTTTGCATCCATGGGCTATATATGTACAAATTACAATACTGAAATACACTTGTCAAAGTGAAAAAACCAGGAGCCATTTCTGAAAACTATAGAAGGAAGGACTATTTTGGCTAGAGTCAGCTTTGAAACTGGCTCCATGACAGGTTGCAGGGTTCTCAAATCTCCTACAGTGGCAGGGCTGTACACATGTGTTTGTTTTCAGGTATGAGGGGCAGGGGTCCCTAAAGCATCTATCAGGGCATTTTCCATGATTCCCAACGGGGTCACCTCAATAGCTACATAATAATCATGATGTGGCTACACAGCCACCATATTTGAAACACTGAATAGTGTGCTCTCATCCCATATTCTGTCTTGTCTCTTTTCCTTGTTCTCTAATGAATTTTAGGGGTTAAAATATACACACAGGTACAGGATTTTCCTAAATACACCATACAGTTTTAATGCTTTTTAACACAGAAATCTTTTAACTTTCATTAACTTAGATTACAGTTAAAACAGAAACCATCTTTCTGGTAATAAGAAGAAATACTAGTGAACTTAGTAGTTCTGAGTAATAGTCATCATTTACCTTGTCTACTGTCACTATTTTTTTAGCTTATCATAGGTATGAAATAATATATCACATGCAATTATGTAATGTAGCCATCCCAAACATTAATAAGGTTGCTTTTCAATGCCATATAATAATAGCATTTAAATAGAGCGTGGAAGTTTGCAAATGTTATCTAATCCTCATAACAACCCTGGAAGGTAGGTGCCACTATTATCCCCATTTTACAACTGAGGAAATTGAAGCAGAGAGAGGTTAAGTGACTTGTCCAAGATCACACAGTTAATAAGTGTCTGAATCTGAATTTGAATCTGAACACAGGATTTCCTGACTCTAAGTCAGGCACTCTATTCACTACACCATCTAGCTGCCTATATACACATGTATGCTGTAGCAAGTCTACAACCCATATTACTGTTTAAAAGTATATAAGGACTTTATGAATACTCTTTATATGTTTTCACTCATAATTTTTTCCATTTCCAAAGAAAATGGATGACTTTTTGCTAATACTGTACAGATGATTTAGGATCACAATTCTAAAAACACACAATTGTGAGCCTTCAAGAGAGGTCATTTTAACCACAATTAGAAAAACAACATGTTTTACAGCCCCAGATTGTACCCCAAATTTTCACCTCTTAAAACTATATGCCACTGATCATGGTGGTCAACAGGATGGGGAAAAGACTGTTTGATAAAATGTGACCAGATCGATGTAAACCTATCAGTACTGTGAAAACTTAGAAGTGAGTGCCATCTTCATATGCAAAAGGAAACTTCATTTAGCCACTTTAATATTTTCTGTATTAGGTAAAACCATATCACTAGTTGTAATAATGACTACTATTTAAAATTTTAGGCCTAAAGAAGTAACTTTGTTACAGACTGAACCACCCTGTTAGTTCATTTACTTTTATCTGATCACATAAAATGTCAGATTTGCAACCTTTCATGTAAGAGTAAATAAATTGGATTTGGTACATTCTAGAACAGCAGCAACATGCTCTGATGAAGTAATAAGCAGGTGGAATGCCAGGAATACCAAACCACTGCCACCACATCAACCATCACCTCCACTCAGATGCTGGTGGGGGGAAGCCCAACACTGAGCACATAAGCCCCAAGAATAATAGCACCTCCCAGCCTAGCTTCCAGCCTGGCCTACTGCCGTTGTGTAGGGGAACAATGCCCTGTACAGATTTGACCCAGCAATGGGAGCTGCAGGCCCCTCTTCCTCAAAAGCCCCAATTATTAAAGACCTGGTAAAGAAGATGCTGGCCCTCAAAGTTTTTAGCACTGTTAAATGGCTTAATTTCAGAAATGGATATCATTTTATCAACAGAAATGACAGTAAAGATGCATTACCATCTGCCTTGCTGCTGCCACCTAAGGACCACTGGGTATTTCCATCCAGTATTTATAAGAGACTTGCAGATAGATGAACTGTCTTTTTAAAATGTTACTCCTTTTAGAATATGAGCTCCCTGAGAACAAAATCTATCTTACTTTTCTATCTGTATCCCTAATGCTTGGCATATGGTAAGCACTTCATAAGTATTCATTCATTCATTCATTCATATTATAACTACCTTGGGCATTAGGTGAAGAACATTCTCGAAATAGTCCACTCCCTCATCTAACAGGGCTTAGGCCCACCAACACAGACATGTATCTAGTTGTAAGGTAGCCTTTATTATCTGGATTTTGAATAGAAAGAAAAAATGGGTGTTAGAGCTCCATCACATGAAATTAGCACATGACAGATTCACTACTGCTGTCCTGTTTGGCTTTACCCCTTCCTCTGCCATAAGGGAATATGTGCATGTGTCCTATAGCCTTTAAGTGTGTTCAGACAATAAGGAAAGAAACTTCCTCTATATTTTTCTACAATATTAGGCTACTATCTCCTTGGTTGTATTTACGTTTTGTGTGCTTTTTGTTACCAAAATTTTGACTCCCTAAAGTCCTATTTGACCTGTTAAATATAGGAACATAACAGGGAAAGTGTGAAAATACTTAAAAAGAGCTTTAATGGATATTTACAATTTTATATCTTCTTGAATATAACATATAAAAAATCCAGGATCTGGTACTAACATTGAGTCAATACCTTCGGAAAATTCTTCTTGGGCAGCTAGGTGGCGCAGTGGATAGAGCTCTGGCCTTGGAGTCAGGAGGACATGAGCTCAAATCCAGTCTCATGACACTTACTAGCTGTGTGACCCTGGGCAAGTCATTTAACCCCTACTGCCTCACCAAAAAGCAAAAAAAAAAAATTCTTCTTAAAGAAAATAAAGTATCAAATCTTCAAGCTTGGCACTTTTATAGAAGCTTCTCCAACTTGTTTTGATATATCAACTCCAAGAGGACATCTGTATTATAAAAAATGCAATGTATTACTATATAACTTTGGTAAGTTCAGAGATTCATATAGATTAGGTTGATATTTGTACTGGTGAAGAGGGGATCCACAATGATGATCACAGAACAAGAAGAGACCTGGCCTTTTGAATCCTGCTAGGTTACAGATCTGGAGGTCTTCAGAGAGACCAGATTAATCATCTTCCTGTTCCTCCTAATCTCCTCTTGCCCAAATGATTCCAAAAAACATTCTTCCTATTTTAGTTCATTATAGTCTCACTATGGCTATCCAAGAAGGGGTATGAGACCTGGATTTAGGGTCACTGGGCTTTGATTTCCTAGATCTGTTATTACCTTTAAGAACCCTGAGGGGAAGGGGTGGGGGAGAGTGTCTCTTAACTTTTCTGGACCTCAGTTTTCTATAAAATTGAAGAGCTCAACCAGATAATATTTGGAAGCCTCTCCAGAAATCTAAATGTATGGTCCTTTGTTCGCCTGGGTGAGATGTTGGTCCAGGTTTCTGTTTCCCTAAGATGAAGCTTGGACTAGAACCAAGCCCTGGCATAAAAAAGCAAGCAGTCATATTACATGAGCTAGAGATAGAGCTTTACCCAGGATTTAAAATGAATCAGGAGACCAGGTCCTCCAACAATATGCAATCTCAGTTTATAAGATATAGCAGGATGCAGTCTACATAAAGGATCTTTCTCCCATCCATGGTAAATTGTGGTCCTTGAACAGACATATTACTTTCTTAGAACAATCTTTTATGGAAATAGCTAACCTATTTATGTAGAAAAGAAAAAAGAGTAGACAATCCATAATATACCATATAGTCAAATGAATTATTAGTAAAGGAAACTGAATATGGGGGCCTTCTGAGTGAAAGAAAAAAACAACAACAATGTATACTTTGATCATATATATAGCCCATACATTATATGCCAGACACTGTGTTAAGCAGTTTACAAATATCTCATCAGGTAGGTACTATTATGATCCCCATTTTACAGTTGAGGAAACTGAAGCAGATGGAGGTTAAGTGACTTCCCCAAGGTTACACAGTAAATGTCCAAGGCAGGACTTGAACTTAGGTCTTCCAGGAGATCCTCTCTATCCACTGTACCACCAGCTGCCTATTATAAATGTCAACTTGTGATCACTGGTGACAACAGGTCACTTTTATATAGCGCTTCAGAGTTATAAAGTATTTTCATTACAACAACCCTGTGAAGAACTTCTAGCCCGTCTCTTACTATTCAAGTACATTAGAGCTAGAAATGATGAATGGAGAGAGGAACTGCTAATAAACAACTTGTTATATAGGCCAGTACGTTTGAGGATTGAATCTGTTGTATCCTCTTGCTATATTCTAGGGAGTGACTCTTAATTGGGAAAGGTATGATAGGTCTCTGTTCAAAATGTCCATCAACAGTTAGGGCAAGTGGGATGGAGGATGAGGTACCAAGGACAGAACTTATGTTTGCGGACCCAGCTTCTGAAGGGCTGTTCCTGCTCTTTGGTGGCACGTGCTAAACGCTTCCCAAAAAATAGCCTCTTGCCCAGTATGTGTACAACAAACTCACAGTAACCTAGGTCTGGGATTACTCTTACTCTAAAGAGAAAGAAAGCAAGGTCCCCTTGCCATGGCTTAGCGAGCCTTAGCACTCTGCCCTAGGTGGACACCATTGAACCAAGAAGTTTACTTAGCTGGGGGGCTGGGCTGCCAGCATGTCTGACTCTACCAAACCACTTCTTGTTGTTGTTCAGTCATTTCAGTTGTATACAATCATGGCCACCTGTTCACAACTTTAAAAAACTGAAACACTGTTCACAACAGGCCTAAATTATATTGTCATTATTGAGTCTTTAAACGTTGAAGAATTATTATCCTGGCTCCAATACACAAACTCTGTCTAGTTTGTAACTCATAATCTCTTTCAACTTTTATGACTTGACTTCTTAGACAGTCAAAGTCAAACACTTCTTGGAAGGGTGCCACCTTCATACCAAAGCTAAAAAAAGGAATTATGTGTGGTTTCCCCGCATATTTATATTAACATTAATTATTAATAAAACTCCAACTAAAACTTGAGATCACAAGTTTAAATTAGTGCAGTGACATTTAGAAGATAGCTTGAAGAAGAAATGGGAATTGTGCCACTTACTTTGGTTCATATCGGAGACCTTCTGTGTTGTATAATATGCCCAGTCCTGCACGCAATCTCTCAACACCATTCCTAAAGAAGGTATATGGAAACAAAATAAATACTTCAAAGATTTAAAGAAAAAATGACTTGTGTTCTAGAATTGTGAATTCATCAGTGTGGGAAACTGTGCAGAAACTTCCTTCAGATATTTATCTATAACTTACAGCTTTTGATAGCTGCCTGGGGCGCAGAGGAGTTAAGTGACTTATCCATGGTCACAAAGCTGATCTATATCTGAAGTAGGACTTGAATCCAGATTTTCCTGACTCTGAATCCTACCTCTGTCACTTCTCTGTGTTACAAGTGGTTTAACCGTTCTAGACTCAGTCAGTCAATAAACATCTACAACATACCAGGTACTATACCAGCCTCTGGGGATACAAATAAATGTAAAAAACAGTTCCTGCCCTCAAGGAACTTACATTCTAGTAGGGGAGACAATGAGCACATATGTACAAACAAGCTACATACAGAATAAATAGGAAACAACCAATAGAGAGAAGGCCCTAGAATTAATTAAGAGGGATGGGGAAAAGCATCCTGTAGAAGGTGGGATATTAGCTGGAACTTGAAGGAAGCCAGAAGCTAAGAAATCTGCCGAGATGATCATAAGTGAAGAGTGGACTACAACAGAATACCACCAGGGGTGGTGGCAATCTCAGGGGAGAAAAGGGGGCAGGAGTATGTTTGAAAGATGTTGTTAATTTGAGAAACTGACAGGCCTTGGCAACAGATCTGATACTGGGAGGTGACAGATGGTAAGGAGTTAAAGATGACATCTAGCTTGCAAGCTTGGGGGCCTGAAGGATGGTGGTGTCCTGGAAAGTAATAGGGAAGTTTGAAAGGGGGTACATGGACATGTTTATAGGCAACAGGGAAGCAGGGAGAGATTAAGTGAGAGAGTGGGGAAGACTGAAGGAGCATTCTGCTGGAAGAGACAGGATGGACAGGTTATCACTTGTTCTGGTAGACAGGTTTTCCTTGGCAAAGAGTAGGGCTACCTCATCTGTAATATGAGTGGTCTATAATGTTCTTTCCAATTTTAAATCCTTCATCCTAGAGTGTCTCTACCACAAAGTATTCCCTCTTATCAGCTTACTACTAGTAGACATAATGTTTCTATAGAACTAAAATTATAGTTTAAGGCTAATAAAAATACATATTGTTTTGCTCACCATGCAATCATAATTCCATTATCTGTGCAAAGTTTGACAGGAGGACATAATAAAACACAATTTGTTGCTCTTGTTACAATTTCCAAAGTCCTTCGAATATATAAGTTACTTGCAACACCTCCAGATACAACCTGAAAGAATTTAAAAGGCTGAAATTAACCACCACAAAAGTATAAGTATGAACTAGCATTTTTCAAACTGTATTATGTGAAGTTATTACATGTGCTATGAAAAGAATTCAATGAGAAAATGCTGATGCTAGTAGTATTTTACCCACTAAAATATTGCATATTAAACTGTACACATCAGATACACTTATCGATCACTTGCAACAATATTTTATTATGAAAATAAGCTGAATTTCCTTTATTCTGCTACAAAACTTCCCCATCACCTTCAATTCCTGCAATACTCCATACCCTAGAACAATAATTAAGGGTCTCTGGGGACTATTCAGCTAATTATTAAAAGCCCAATAAAGCTGCAGGGCTCTTGAAGGCAAGGTATGTTATGGTTTCTTCTTCACTTCACATAAGCACATAGTTAGTCTTGTAAGACTAACAGCATGGTTACAAAGATCTTTTCTTCTTCATGTGTATGCAAGAGAATCTAGTTCTTTGCTACAAGTCAAAACAAAGTATTACTAATACTGTTTATAAGAAAGGTTGTAAACACTTACCAATATAGCATTAGAAGGAGTTAGGAAACCTCTTTGTTGGCAAAACAGAATAGCACGATGGGTTCGTTTAGCAATGTGGCTTGCTACTGTGTGCTGTACTGCAGCAGCAATATCAGCAGCACAGGACAAAATATGTCCCTTCTCAACCCCTGCAAAAATAATGTTTAGTGATTTTTAAATGTTTATTTCATGATGGTTTATTATATATTCAACTTTGTTACATACACACCTTCCTCTTTTTCCTTTTGTGTTATTATTTTATCAACAGCAGTCTGAAGTCCAGAAAAAGAAAAATTGCAATTTCTACAGTAATGCAGGGGATGTTGAAAATCAAAATGTAATCTATTTCCTTGTTTGGCTAAATGTTCTATAGCCTTGCCACCACTCATGGTGGAGTATGCTGGGTGTTTTATTAGAGAAAGTCTTCTTGCTACCTAGCAAAGAAAAAAAATGCTTTGTAAGACATGATATTATAATTGGCTCACATTTTTCAAGCTATATACACAAACCAAAATTTATTACTGAATATTATATTATGAAAATATAATTTTTTGAAAAGTAAGATTGTGACTAGTAGCCACTAAAGGTACAATTCATAATAGGGGACTGGCTTGTAATAGATGGAGGCTGTTGCATCTGGGAACCAAAGCAAATAAATTCATCATATTCATTACCCTCCTTCTACTCTTCCACTTTGTTGGGAAGGTGGGAGAGGTGAGGAGCTAGACAGTTTTAAATTGATGAAACCACTCCATTTCCCCAGGGGATTTTAGAAAGAGAAGCTCACTATCTCCTCTCCTCTTTGTTTTCAACTACAGTGGAGATAGAAGTGATAGATCACTGCTTCCCTAACCCTGAGCAAGAGCAGTGCGGTCACCAGCCACCCTCTCTTTCACCACAATTAACAGTGCTTTAAGGGAGAGAAAGAAATCTGCAACTTTCTAATGCCAACATTTCTCCAGTTTAATCAAAGAACTTTATCTACAGTAACTGCCCTTTGGTTTTATATTTCCTCAATGATCAAACAGCAAGCACATTACAATCCATAAGGATCTTTAGAATAGCGGACTTTTATATGGTGCTTTGAACTTTACAAAATGTTTTACTTATATTATCTTATTTCTGTCTCACAACAACCCTGTGAGGCTGGTACTATGGGTATTTTTAATCTCCACTTTACATATAAGTAAACTGAGGCACAGAGAGGTTAACTGCCTTGGCCATGGCCAGCGAACTCATGTCAGAGGCAGGATCTGAACCTAGGTCTTCCTGACTCCAAATCCAACACTGTGCCATTAGATTGGTGTCCAATCCAGTCTCACATATACTTTTAAAAACACCTACTATGTGCAAGCCACTGTACTTATACATATATGCTAGGCATTCATTTCTCCTGGGAAGATACAACAAGGAAACAGATGAGTATATGCATGATAACTTGAAAATATAAATAATTATAGGGATCACGGAAGGCACTATAAGTGGTACCCCAGCTGAGCCTCAACTAAAACAAGGGATTCTGTGAGATAAGGGAAGGGTACATTAAGGCATGAGAGAAAGCCTGGAAAAAAGGGAGGAAAGAGAAGGATAAAATGCTAAGTCTGGGAACACCAAGGAAATGTTTGGTGAGAAATAAATGAAATAAATTTCACAGTGAAATAAATCCAGAAAGGCAAGCTGGAAGCAGATTATATATGGCTTTAGAAGTTAAGCTGAGGAGTTTGTTTTGTATCCTAGAGTGAGGCACTGAAGGTTTCTAGACAGAAAGAAGGGAAGGGAATAAGTATTTATTAAGTACCTACTATGTGCCAGGCACTGGGCTAAGTGTTTTACAAATATTATTTCATTTGATCCTCATAACCACCCTGGAAGAGAGGTGTTATTATTTCTGTTTTACAGTTAAAGAAACCTAGAAAGATGCAGATTAAGTGACTTGCCCATGGGCACATAGCTAGTAAATAAGTGCCTGAAACCATATTTGAACTCAGGTCTTTCTGACTCCAGGTCCAGTGCTCTATCTATTGAACCACATAGCTGAAAAAGTCTTGAGAATTCATCGAGTCCAAGGGTTACATAGTAGTAAGTAATCATCAACAGCAGGATTTGAACTCCTGTGACCCCAAAACCAAGGCCTGTTATACTTGACCACATCTATAGAGCAATGAGAGTAAAACTCACAGGAACTAGTAAGATCATAGAGAAGGTATAGAAAAAGAACAGGGTCTAGAAAAGAACCTTTATGGATGCCCATTTTTAAGGGCCAAACATCAATAATAATCCAGTAAATGAGACTGAAGAATAGTCAGACGAGCAATTAAGCATGAATACATTTATTAAATGCTTATTCTCTGCGAAACATTATGCTAGTGCTGGTAGAAGTGAGACAGTCTCCCTCAAGGAGCTTAACCTCCTCATAGATAGAGGCAAAACATACATGAGAGGGGTGCCCAAGGAAGAAGTATCTCGGGATTCACAGGGATGTGGAGTTGAGCAGTCAACAGACGCTCCCTTTCCAGGAGTATAGTACTAACTGGGGATGGGTGATGGTAGTGGTCAAAAGTCACCAGAAGAAAAGGATAGTCGAGGGGCAGCTAGGTGGTGCAGTGGATAGTGCACCAGCCCTGGATTCAGGACGACCTGAGTTCAAATCCAGCCTCAGACACGTAACACTTATTAGCTGTGTGACCTTGGGCAAGTCACTTAACCCCACTGCCTAGCCCAAAAAAAAAAAAAAAGGACAGTCAACAGTTGTCAAAAACTGAAGAGGTTAAGAAGCATAAAGACTAAGAAAAGGTCATCAGACTTATCAGCTGAGATCACTAGCAATTTCAGTTGGCTGGGGACCTGGGAAATCAGAAAGCAAAGGGCCAAGAATGAAGTGGAAAGGAACTATAAGCAACAAGGACCAGTAGTTTTTCCTAGGAGTTTGGCTATGAAGAGAAGAGCTATAGGATGAGAGCATGAGGGATGTTAGGATCAAATGAAAGGTTTTTTTTTAGGAGAGGGAAGATTTTAGCCTGGTATAACAGAAAGAACTGGGGACTTAGGTTCAAATCCCAGCTTTGCTGTTTCCTACTCACATGACATTGGATAAATCACTCTCTCCCTGAGCCTTGGATTCTTCACCTATAAAATGGGAGGTGGTGGAATTTCATGGCCTCCGAAACTCCTTTCACCTCTCAATCTATGATTCTATGATATGTCCTTTAATAATCAGACAGAAGGAAATGCGTTCCTGCAACCACCAATAATAGGTCTTTAGGAGTGAAACCTACTAAGAAGGATAATTTCAAATATTTTTGAAATTTACAAGTAAATTCATCTCAAAATACAATTTTAAATCTTAGAGGTTTTGAAAACTCTATAAAACTACAGTGATACATAAAAGTTAAAAAAAGGCCTAGTTTAGATTTATAGAAACTATACTAAAAAAATTTCCTCATACTACAAAGTTCCATCCTATACTCAATTTCCAATTTGATCTCTTACTGTAGATAAAGTCTTTATGAACTATTCTACCTAATTAAAGTTATTAAAAATATTGAATTGAATGGTAACAATGGAATTACTTTATCTATAATTGAAATTCACAGGTACTGAAACACTGTCAACTGACACCCATTTATTAAATACTTACTATGTGCTATGCTGAAAACACACACACACACAAATAATAAAAATAGCTAATACTTATATGGCGTTAGCTATGTGCCAGGCACTGTGCTAAGCACTTTATAATTATTATCTCTTTTAATCCTGACAACCCTGGGAGGTATGTGCCATCATTATCCCCATTTTACAGATGAGGAAAACAGAGATTAAGTGACTTGTCCAGAGTCACACAGTTATTAAGTATCTGAATCTACATTTGAACTCTGGTCTTCCTGGCTTCTCTCCACTGTACCACCTAGCTGCCCCCAAAACAAAAAGAAATGAATTCATAGATTAACTCTTACCTTGTCAAGCAAGTCACCCGGTGCCATATCTAATGATTTTCCGAGCAGAAGAAAATCTGAAATACCTTGAACTATGGCCAGTAAACAGTGACCCCCAGAGACCAAAAGAACTAAGAAAGGAAAATCCACTTTATTAGTTATTCTAATAGTAAGTGCATGTGCTTCCATGTGATGAATAGGAATGAAAGGCTTCTTGTACTGGTTTACTAGTTGTAAGCTATACTCCAAGCCTACTCCCAGGCTTAGAGCAAGTCCTGGTTTTACAGTAGTTGCAACTGCTGAGAGTTCATTTGGGGTGACTCCACTGGCACAAAGAGTTTTCTTCACTATTTGTTCAATGTTTTCTCTATGAAGTTGCTGTGCAACTGAAGGAATAATCCCACCTGTTCTGAGAGAAAAATGGTCATGAGTTTATCATATCAAATTATAAGACCGCAAAACTGAAAGTCTGGTTGTGAAATGAACCAGCCATCCTGTGGAACAATTTGAAACTATGTCCAAGGGGCAACTAAACTGTGCATACCCTTTGATACAACAACGCTACTATTACGTCTGTATCCCAAACAAATCATAAAAAAGGGAAAAGGACCTACATGTGCAAAAATATTTATAGCAGCCCTTTTCATGGTGGCAAAATATTGGAAACTGGGGGGATACTCATCAATCGGGGAATGGCTGAATAAACTATGGTATATGAATGTACTGAAGTACTATCGTGCAATAAGAAATGATGAACAGGAAGATTTCAGAGAAGCTTGGACTTGTACAAACTGATGCAAGCAGAACCAGGAAAACATCATACTCAGCATGAGCAACATTGTGTGATGATCAACCATGAATGGCTCAGGTCTTCTCAGCAACACAATGATGCAAGACAGTAGAAAGAACTCACAAAGGAAAATGCTATCCAGATAAAGAACTGATGGACTCTGAATTGCAGATTGAAGCACATTTTTTCCCACTTACTTTATTCTTTCATATTTTTTTCCTTTTGCTCTGTTTTGTCTTTTACAATTGTGACTAATATGGAAATATTTTTACATGATAGCACATGTATAAACTATAACAAACTGCTTACCATTTTCAGAAGAGGGGATGGGAAGGAGAGCGAAAAATTTAGAACTCAAAATCTTGTGAAAATGAATGCTACAAATATTCTTGACATGTAACTGGGGGGAAAAATGCTACTTAAAAACAAAAACAAAAAACCCTGAAAGTCTGGATTCATCAAACCTTATCTTCTCTCTTAGTACAAGAATAATTTTGAAAGCATATTTTTCAAACTAAATAGCTTAAAACTTTTAGGAAAAAAAAATCTCACCAAAGGAGCATTCTAACAAAAGCTGGAAAAAATGTATTTGTCTGATATCTTGCAAACTCTAATCAAAAGGCCTCTAAAATAAAAAGGATACATGAGGGAGAAAACTGCCTATATTTATCTAACAAGCTTCAACGAAGAGAGAACAATGACTGAGAGACATCAGGAAGTTCACAAGAAATGAAATCTAAGGAGCCATTAGCAAAATTCACATTTTGAAATTTCCACACATAAATGTCTACATTTAGTCAACAAGCAAGAGGAAACACATCTCAATGAAAATCTGAGCTCACAGGTATACCTGAGACCTGGTGTGTTGAAATCCATGACTAGATGGTACATACAGATGGATATACTTCATCCAAATGAAACAAGAGAATTAAATGGGGAGTTGGCAAAAAACTGTATACACATACACACACCTCCTCCAGCGGGCCTCTGCTGCCTTCTCACCCTTTGAAGTCTCCTCTTCCTAATGGTGAATGCCTCCCAGAACCTCTATATTGAGGAGCTTTTCAGGCCTGGCACCCTTTATCCCTCTCCTGGCTCTGTTCCTCACTCTCTGATTGTGCCACCATGTCCCTACATGGGTATCCTCCCTACCTATTCAGCTCTTTTTTGTATACTGTCTTCCCCTGTCAGAATGTAAGCTCCTTGAAGGAAGGGGGTGTCTTTTACTTGCATTTGTACTCCCAGCATTAAGCATAGTGCATGGCACTTATTAAGTGCTTAATAACACTTAGTGATTTGTCCTTAGAATGTGGAGCTGAGTAGTTCAGACAGATACTGAAATCAATGACTGAAGCCTGCCTCTTCTCTTGACAGAGATCAGGAAGTAGGTTTGTAAGTACTACTAAGCTAACAAATAAGAAACCTTACTAACATTGGAAGGACCAATCATAATAGGTTGTGAACTTCTTCAATCAGCATTTCATTTAAGTTCCTTTTGCTTCCTGCAGATTAACTTTGTAACAGTGCAAGGTAGTACAAGATTAAGGGACACAAAAAGTGGTATAAGATTCCAGAGAATGGGGAAATCAGTATGGGCTTTAAAAGGCAAGGAAGGTTCCAAGGAGGAAGATAGGATCTAAGTAAGCTCTTGAAAAAATGATGACAATTTAAAAAGGTGGAGAAAGGGTTCTCAAAGAAAGCATATTTTCTCATCTCTTCTTTGTGGCCAATTGGGTCATTATAAATATCTGGTGTTAAAAGCAACTTAGCTTTGAAGAGTACTAGACATGGGTCACAGACCTGATTTGAGTCCCAGCTCTACTTACTGTCTTACTGTGTGACCTTGACTGGGCAAGTCCCTTCATTTCTCTATATCTCAACTTCCTTATCACTACTTCCCAGGATTACTGAGAAGATCAAATGTGATCATCAATATAGGCAAAAATATTTAATTATAATAATGACACAAATTAATGCTATTCTTACCATATAACAAATACAAAAGGATCACTTCCATTAATTTCTTTTTTTATAGTAAAGCAATCATAATAATGGTTACTTACTTTAAGTGAACTTCAGTTTGGGAGTGTATTGCTTCTCCTAGGATACTGCCAGTTTCATCCACCACAGCAGCTGCTGTATCATCACAACTGGTTTCAATTCCTAATACCAGCTTATGAAGAAACTGTTTCCCAGGACGAAAAGTAAAACTTCTTAAAAATCCATGTATTTGCCATTTGGGCAATCTACAAAGAACCCCCAATGTCTTATTCACTGTCAGCATATTGAATCTATAAATCTGCCTAGAAAAGAACCACATGAAGAAACATATATTAAGATGCGAATTTTATGCACAACAAAGGCACAAGACTCAGAAATCTAAAACAATAATGAGAGACTTGAAAGCTATTTACATACTCCTTCAGTTTTAAATTATAGGGAAGCTCATAAAAGCTAGCAGTAATTTCTTCTTTAAAATATCACATAAATTGAACCCTGTTATTTGAGGGGGGAAAGGAATACAAATAGGACTTGGGATTTTATAGTAGTAATTTCATAAACAGGGCTTGTCAAACCATTTACTTCTTTATGAAATGCTTAATATAAAAAAAAAACACCTCAAGTATCACACTATATTTGTTTAGTGAGGGATTTCTCTTCTTCCTAAGTGACAACTATCTGCACTGGGAACAGCATCCATTGTGGGATCTTGGAGAAGTAGCCTAAGTAATTTATACAATTTGACCAAGCTACTGCAGAGGAAGATGAAACAAAAATAAACAACAAGAAGATGACCTTCTGGAATCCCTCAAAGCTCTCTGAGAAGTGCTGATACAAGTAGGAGGCATAGTGCCTACAAGACAGATGCCAAAATAGACAAGGGGCTGGGCTGACCTGAAGAGCAAAACAAAATCCTATATGAGCAATCCAAGAAGAGGTATTCACATAGCAACATGAAGAGACTCTGTGGAAGGAGTGGGAAGGGGATTAGGAATCAAATATAAAACAAAAGAGTGTTGGGCCTTTGGATCCAGAGGCATTCTGAGAAGGGACTCCTTTAATGAAACTGCTCTGTAAAGTTACCAGCACCATATACTAAAGAGCATAACAGCAGGGAACAGTAAAGCAGGACTGAGGATAGGAATAATCAATCAAAAAAAATTATTAATTACCTGCTATGTGATGGGCACTGAATTAAGCTGGGGACTTGGGGGGAGATATAAAAAGAAGCAAAAAACAGTCCTCGTCCTCAAGAAGCTTACAATTTAATGGGGAAGACAACATACAAATAAACATACGCAAAGCAAGCTATATACAGGAGAAACAGAAAATAGCAGAGGGAAGGCACTAAAATTGGGGGATGGATAGGAGGAGACAGTGATATCCTGAAAACCTAGAGAGAAAAAAGTAACAAGAAAGAAAGAGTAGGGGGCAGCTAGGTAGTGCAGTGGATAGAGTGCCAGTCTTGGAGTCAGGAGGAGCTGAGTTCAAATCCAGCCTCAGACACTTGACACTTACTAGCTGAGTGACCCTAGACAAGTTATTTAACCCCGATTGCCTCACCAAAAAAAAAAAAAAGAAGGAAAGAGTGATCAACAGTGTCAAAGGATGCAGAAGGGTCAGGATGGATGAGGACTGGGAAAAGGCTATTTGATGTGGCTATTAAGAGGTCATTAATAACTTTGGAGAGCAGTTTCAGCAAAATAAGGTAGAAAGCCGGATTGTAAGGGGTTATGAAGAGAGTGAGAGGAAAGAAAGTGGAGGCACCTATCGTGGATGGCTTTTTCAAGTTTAGCTACTAAGGTCAGAAGAGATACAGGCTGATAGCAGGGAAATAAGGCAGTAAAGAATGAGCCAGTAGACAGGCAAAGATTAAAAATAAGTGAAATAGTGGGGTGACAGAGGAGTAAATTTGTTGGAGGAGATAGGATAGAATGGGATTGCTTGAGCCGATAGAAGGGTTAACTTTGGTAAGGAATAAGGCCACCTGATTATGTGAGACAGGTGAGAAGGAGATAGTGGCAGAAGGCACCAGAATGACAGATGAGGAGCAGGAGAGAAGAGGGCACTTATGGCAAATGGCCTCAGTTTTTTCTATAAAAAATGAGGCAAGGTTCTTGACTGAGAGTGAGGGCAGGGATGAAAAGTTTTGGAAGAATCATTGTGGAGAGAGGGACTGTAAGTTGATAATAGAGATACAGTAGGATTAAATGGATTTATAGATCAGAAGTAGTGACAGCAAAATGCGAGCACTAATTGGGAACAGTGTCCAGGGAAGACGTTCTCATAAAAGAATAATGAAGTACAGAGATCAGTGACCTGGAGGAATAACCCCAATCACCTTGCTTGTTCAGGCCTTAGAAGTGTAAGTCCTAGAGGAAGGATGGCTCTTTAGAAGGGAATGGTCTGTAGCTTAGTAATAGTTTCTTGATTCTCTAGGAGCTCAGATATGAGTCACCTCTGGCTTGTACTATGTAAATAAGTTTTATGCTTAGAAGACTTGTGAGTCTGAGTGTTTTTAAGGGAAGCTACCAGGGTAATGCCAAATAGCATAGTTCCCAATCTATCTACTTGGGTGCTGGCACAAAGAGGTCCCTAAAGTGTACTTGATTTATTTGTGCAGGGAAGGAACCTCTGACAAAAATGTTACATTTGCTGCTGTTGCTCCTGTTTGTCCTTCATCCTCAAAGAGGACTGTGACATCAGGGAGGTGATGCTATGACATGCAAGTGAATTGGATTTAAGTGAGGGAGGGCTATGCAAAGTCACCAGTCTTACTTCCTCCTCCAGAGCCATCTGAGTACAGTGGCCAGATATGGATCAGGACAACTGGAGATGGCCCAAGATACAGTGGGGGACCTTGGCCTTTTCAAGCTAAGGTCTTTAACAGGTCTCAGTTTGACTGAGGCAGCGCCCATTCAGTGATTAAGGCTTTAAAAAAAATGAAGCAAAGAATGGCTTCTTTAAAAAAAAAAATATATCTGGGAGAGGAAGACCCTCAGGGTTTCTGGCCAAAACTGACTCAGTAAGGACCCAATCAGTGACCAAGTAGGACTTGGTCTGGGACCAGAGTGATTTAGGGTTAAGGCTGTTCAGGGACTCAGCAAAACCCAATTCATTCTTCCCACTCTCCTTGAGCAAAGGCCTTCTGCACTAGCAGTGGCCAAGTTAAGATAGCACCAACACCCTTGCAAGCATCTAGAGAGCATTGTAAAATTATGTTATTTTGTATTTATCAACAGGATATACCCAAATGAGACTGATAGTATTCTGTTATAACTGTAAGATAGACATCATTAGTCTTCCACAAGCTGAAGGCCACAGAGTTGATGCTGGGAAATATGGGTGGGGCCTGGTACCTAAAAATTATTCCCTGCCCCAACCATCTCTGGATTCATTCAACCTAGACTCAAAGGACACTGTGAGACCTTGACAAGAAAGATCCAACTGTGCTAGAGTCAAGAGATTCTTGGGTCCCTTTCCCTTTTCAGAGATTCACGGAAAGAGTAGAAGGTAGCACAAACTACTTAAGAGGTATTGGTGAGGTGGATGATTTAATCTGGGGAGGTGGAAAGACATTAAAAGTACATGAAATTACTCAAGGTATGAGATTGGGTGGAGACTGCCAGTTAAAGCTGTCATTTGACAACTAGCATGTTTCCAAGCCTCTGTCCAACATACATGTCCACAAAAGATAGCAGCACCCCTTATCTGCAGACATTCAAAAATTATCATGAACTGAAAGTACTTCTGGGATTCCAAGGTTTACTGATGGAGTTTGTAAAAAATGATGTCATTAGTACAGAGCTCATCAATGACCTCAACTGTAAATATATTGTTGGAAAGAACCTTAAGCAGGACAGAAAGTTCAGAAATAGCAAATTGCATCCTGAAGAAGTGGCCTAGGATGGATCTCTTGGAGCTTTAAGGAAACTATTAGGACAAGAAATACAGTAAGGCCTTCAAGAACCTGATTAGCTACCTCACACAGCTTTTCCTGATCTCTGTGTTACACACTGATGCCAGTATAAATGGCTTGGGGGTTAGTCTTATACTATCAGAAGTCTGCTGTAGTGGGGAAAGGACACGATCTTATTTACAAGCTATTCTTGACCCTGAAAAGTTTCAATACTATATGTATGGAGCTTGTTTTTAGTATGAATGGAAAACTTGTTGACCAGTATTTTGACAAGCACTAAGTCAGATGGCACCATCTAAAAATAGGAGGCTGCCTTAACCAACTATCACTTCAGTATATGAAAGTCAACTTTGGATAGGTGCTCTATCCCAAAGGTCCAATGCATCAGAGATCATGATGAATTAAAAGTGGGGGTGAAGGTAATCTTTGACACAAAAGAAGTAAGCACTATATTAAGGCCTCAAACCAAAGAAACCATGTCAAAGAATCTGGAATTTTTTTTTAAAAAAAAAGGGTATGCCACCTTAATTGGTAAGAAAAAAAAATACATAGCTCTGAAGCTAATCTCGATTACCCAGTTTGAACAGGGATGAGGGTCTCCAAGTTGTGATACTGGCCATGAAGAAGGGATGCAATGCTTAAAGAATTAAGCTAAAGGCAAACTACTGTTGAGAGAGTAGCAAAAGTTGAAATTATAGTGGAGTAATGGACTATAAAAGAAGGGGAATACTAGAGCCAGCTTGGCCAGTCATGAAAGTCAACTGTTAAATTTTCAATGTGAGAATTTACACTTTGGAAATCGGCAACCATTATGAATCAGGTGTTGATTTGCTGTTGTATTTCTGGACTTGAGAAACTATCAATAATGCAAACTTATCAGAGTGTCATGCTTACATTCTCCCCAATCCCTCTGGAGATCCTATTATTAAAAATTTACCAGTAAACTCCTGGCTATAAGGAATCTTCCAAGGTAATTACTGTTAATCGAAGCTTAGTAACTCATAGCTAGGAAAGTCCTCAGTTTTGTACAGTGGAAAGAGTGGTGGATTTGATGTTAGAAGATCTATGTTCAAATCTTGGCTCTGCTACTTATTACCTATATCTAAACCTATGATCTTATGATCATAGGCAAGAGAAAAGTCTAGATCTGGTGGAAAACAGGTTTTACAAGATCAAAAAGACAGTGTATGTAGAGCAGTCACCAAAGTGACCCTAGGGAGTAATCAAGAAAACCCACCGGGGAGCATGAAGAAAATGAGAACTAAATATAGACCAACATCTCACAGTATGTACCAAGACAAGTTCCAGATGGATATGTTACTTAGATATAAAAAATGATATCATAAACAAATTAGAGGAGCAAGGAAATTACCTTCTAGAGCT